TTAAACGAAAATTTGTCAACGAACAATTAAAAACAAATTTACTTAATATGTAAGTCCGATTTACTTAATTTAATACACTATTATTATTGTATGTTTGCTAAAAAATATCTTATCCAACATTTTTATATTATTAATTAAAGAACAGTATGTAATGGTTAGAACGAATAAAAGGATTGTATTTATAAATAAATAAAAAATTAATAAAATTATAAAAATAATAAAGTTTTATGATTAAAAATGATATATTTTTTATTTTACGAATGTGCATAATAAATATAAATATTTAATACTGAATTAACGAAAATATTTTACTTATAGGTTTTCTTTATGCGTCACTTAAATTCAAATTTGAATATATACAAAAATGCGGTATACCTATATTCTTAATCAATCTCAAAATTTTTTATTAAACTAGGTTCAACATTTTGATACTACGTAGTTAATTTTGGTATTAACTGCAACAATATTTAATGGTTAAATATTTTAACAAAGATTCTATGATCAGAAGAAGCCGGTATATTATTACCTGTCTTTGTATGATTTTTCAAAACGCATAATAACAATATCGATATATGTGAATTTTTAAGTATATCATACATATCGATATGCCTCAAAAAAAATAACATATTTACTTATAAGATTGATTCATTAATAAATAAAGTTAATGACTAATAAGTAGTCTAATAAGTATAAAATATTTAACTGGCCAATCAGTTTCTTTCTGAAGTTTAATGATCGCCTTAAATCGAACATAAATAAAATATCAAGAATCCGTGATATATACAATTCTGTTAAATTTTTGATTATATAAATATATACTAATTTTTATAAATTACTTAAATTATTTAAATACACCATTTTACAATAAATATAAATTTCTTATTTATTTCCGAGCCCTTGTTCTTCTTCTTCCAGGCAATCGAACCAGTTCGTAAACGAGGACGAATCAATTTCTTCTGATGGGTTTAACAATGATCCTATTGAAAGTGTTGATTGACACCCATCTACTTGAATGTGTCTTGAACGAAAGTCATTACAACTTTGTGCTGTATGTCCTTCTGTTTTATTAATCAATGTTTTAACCTTTGATAACGTTTGTTCGGACGATTTTTCTGTACTTTCTATAGGAAATTGTCTAGACATCAACGTTAGTGCTAGTGCTGCTTGTCCAACTTCTTGGTCAAGAATATGATTAATTGATGTCTCTTTTGTAATTTCTGATGATGAGCCTTCTAACTTAGGCCTTTGTAATTGCGAAACTTGCAATAAAACATCCGGCTTCTCAGCCGAACCCATGCCTCCAACAATGGATTGTTCGATTGTATCTATGGAACGTGTTGGTGACGGAACTTGATTACTCGAAAAATTTGTACGATTCCGTCCTCTCATCGCTCGTTTTTGTCCTCTCTTCTTAGGCTTTACTTTCATATCATGAAGACGATTATAAATTTCTCTCTTTTTTTCGTCTATATCTCCAGATTCAGTTCTGGCTGTTTTTAGATGCTTATAAAATATTGCACAATCGCCGGCTGTTTTATGTGCCATTTTATCTGCTATTTTATTAAAATCTTTCGGTGTGATCTTAAACAACTTTTCAAATTGGTTTTGCTCGTCCTCTGTCCAATTTGAACCTAAAGGGTTATTGTGTCCGTAAAATTCTACTGGATCTAATACACGACCTGAATTATCCACAAAATTGCTGGCTTTTTGTCCACTAACATCTATTGGTAGTGGAGGGATATGGGCACGTGATGATTCTCCTCGTTGTTGTTCTTGCCCCTGTTTTTGGTCTTCTGCTCCAAGTTTTTGCAATATTTCTGCAAATTCTTGATCGGTAGTTACATAATCACTACATCTTCTGCTTCTGGTTGTGCGGACTGGATATCTTACGGCAAAGCCAGTTGTAGTAGAATTCTCTGGTATCGAATCCGCGCGTTGCTTCCCCTTAGATTTTGTGTTACGTCTTTCTGCGCTTTTACCTTTTACACTTTTAATCAATTCGTCCCCTCTAATAGAACTATCACTACCATCATCATCAAGCGCTTTACTTCGAATTCGAGATTCATAATCTTCTCGTAACTCACGTTCTTTTCTTGTTCCTTGTTGAAATTTTCGTTGAAATCTTGAAAATAAATTATCTTTCGATTCATCGAGTGAATCATCGTTATGTTCACGTTTTTGATTATTAAACCACCGATCTAACAGAGAATTCTTACAAATGTCCTTATTTCTCGTGTTTATCTTTGAGTTTTCTGAAGTTTGGCCTTTAATGATTGCTTTTAGTTCTTGTCGGTAAGCTGATGTTGATGCCTTTTCAACTTTTTTCCTTCGATATGCTATAGATGGCATACTTTTTGGTGATACCTTTTGTGAATTATTAACATTGTCTTTTTTAATTGATTTTGATATCTTTACCGTATCACGTTTTAACCTTTTTATAGCTTTCTGATCTGTTTGAAACTTTCTTTTCTTTTCGATTTGTTCTAATTTTTTATCTCTAAGTCCTTCCCAAATATCAATTTGTCCTTCTACATATTCTAGTTCTTCAAATAAACTCTGGAATTTTGGTCGCTCCTCCCCTGAATTACTGAATTCCTCGGTTTTAATTTGTTGAGATATTGATACATCGTCCAGATCTGGTACCTCAATAATTCGGGTGTTAATATCGTCGGCATTTGTATTTTCATTCGTCGGGTTTTGTACTGTATCACATATAGCTGTAGACGGATGAATAACGACATTATTTAACTCAATATGGCTTATCGTATGTTCTCCATCACTATCTGTTATTTGATTTCGGAACCTTTCAAATTGTGCATCCGACTCTTCAAGACTTGTTATTGCGTCATTTTTTTGGGAACAAGGTTGTATCTGTTCTTGTTCTTTATAATTAATTTCTCTTTCTTGTGACCGACTTATTAATCTAGATTCTTCTATTCTTTGGTTTTGGTCGACTTCCCTCCTTTCTAGACTATGCCAACCAGTCCAACCACCTTTTTCATTGCCAACATTTGATTGACTAGAATTTTCCACTTCCTGGATACTTTCTGTGCTAAAATTAGTTTCCTCAGCCTTATATTCAGGTGTACATCGCATTTTTTCTCTGTATGATAATGAATTATCATCGATTGACGATTTCTCATCGTGATTTTGAAGTCGCATAAATACAGACGTATGTTCTATATCGAAGTGACGTGGTGACGTTGCTGATTCAATTGATGGAGGCTTTGATCGACTATGAATATTTGTTGGTGAGAAATTTGTCGGCTCTTCTGACTTTGTAATATCTAATTTAGGTACTGGTGATCTTGTTCGATGACGCGTAAAAGATGAAGAACTTGTTACCGATGATCTAGGTGAAGGGGATGTTGATCTATTTCTATTACGCCAATTACCGTATGTAGGTCCTATACCTTGAAGTTCATCTCTCTCAAAGTCTTTGCTAAAACCAAAGGAAAATTTTTGTCGTGTTTCTAATTCTTGATAATCAAACCCGCTCATGTTGTGGATAGCATATTGATTTGCACATTCTCGTGATGGGCCAATACGGCTTAATTGACGTTCGCGAGGTATTGAGGCATTTCTGTCACGATCATTTCGCTCTCTATCTCGTTCCAATCTAGGTCTATCATGTTCCGGCCTTTTTCTTTCACGACTTCTTGGTATTGTACGAAAATCCCAATCATCAAAGCTTTCTCTGTAACGATACATGCGATGATGTGAAAAGTAATCCCGCTGACCAGAATTATCGTGTGGATGATATCGACCCCTACGGTTTGGATTTCGATCATCATACTTATTAAGTTATACAAAATGTAATATATTTCATTAATAAATCAAATGTAAAATTATACATTCGTATTTTACAACTAATGATCTTGAATTCTACGAATTATGAAATTTACAACTAACTACTTACTTCGTGGTCACGAATATTAGGTCCTAATTGCCGACCTATGCCCTCACGTCTAATGTCACCATTATTCCTGCGATCATTATATAAAATTCTTTCTCCTGGAGCTCGACCCAATTCATCAAACTCACGTCGTTTAGTACTATACAGCGTAATATTGAAAGATATTTAAATTTGTTTTTTTCTAATTAATTTTTTCAAGCTGATTGTTTATTATTTTGTTATAAATTACCTTCGATTCATTGGCGTTCCGTATATATCACGCTCGTCTTGTCTGAAATAATTTTTTTTTTTTTTGGTGAAAACATAATTCCTTAAAAGCTAAAACCTTAAAATTTAAGATATTCCCCAATTATTTTTTATACTATACCTTCTAAAGATATTTGCAGCTTGTCTTTCACGTTCATCACTTTCTTCGCGCTCTCGTCTAAAGTGAAATTCTTTTTAGCAAAAAATCCCGAAAAACATAACGACTGACAAGCATTTTGCTTGTAAAAATTTTTAATCTTCGCCCATAATTTTTTTTTTTTTTTACATGCCTTCTATAATCAATCGATCCTTCTCTATCACGAGAGTCACGGTCATCGCGATCTCGCCTAAAAGGAGGAGACTTAATAAACGGTAGCATTAAAGAAAAAAGAATTCTTTTATCGAAATACCTAGAATCTCTAATGCCTATATCAGAACCCTGCATCATGTTTATGTTAATTTGGTGAAATGAGTGAATAAAGTAAAAATAGTCGAAATTTGAGAGTCTGTATTTTAGGCAAGAAAGAGAGAATCAGAGTTATCAACGACGACAGCCTCTTGCCTATATACTGTACTTTGTTTCGGAACACCGGAATACGGAATTTGATTAAATTTTGGCAAAAATTAACGTTAAGAATTACGATGATTTTAGTCCGGAGTTTTAGTGTTGTAATAAAGACCAATCAGAATCTATCTTTTGAATTCTAAATGTTAATTTGTCATGCACCGTTTACACGTGGTTTTATTTTTGGTAAACATCGAAGTCTCCGATTTGAAATATTATTACCTTTATTACTTAAAAACCTTTTTTACCTTAAAACTATTTCAAATTTAACAAATGGCGACAGAAGATGAACTTGAAAATTTGCGTAAAGAACTAGCTATCGCTCGTCTATCATATGGTAGGCGTTAATAAGTTTGTTCTTTTATGCCTTAATGAATTATATCATTTCCAGCTAAATCGAGCTTTCATGTTATTTAGATCAACAGCTACACCAATCACAAAATCGGTGTCGAGAGTTGCAAGTAATCAATGAGAGTCAAAAGCAGCGTTTAAACGAGTATCAATCACTTCTCGAACGAAATGGTAAGTTTAATAATGAAAATGGTGATTCACTGAAAGATGGCTTGACATCGTTTTTTTTTTATAGAACAAGAAAAGCAAAAAGCTCTTAATGACAGTAAAACTGCGAATGAAGAGGTTGATAGTATTCGTTTTGAAATAGCACGAATGGAAATGGCGTTGCAAGAAGAAAAAGCAAGTCGACTTGCTCTAATTACAAACAAAGATCAAGAGTTAGTTCAAACAAAAGGTACTAAAAACATTATAAGAATCGAAAGTTAGGGCTAGTAACCTAACTATAGTTATGATGGGAAAAGTATGAAAATGCTAAATGGTTTATATTTAAATAGAGGCATATGAACAAGTGGCGGTTTTACGATCACAGTATCAACAACAAATTTTTGATCTTCAAAATGAACTGCAATCAGTTAAGAAGAGCGAATACCAATGGAGGGTAAGTATAATTTTGGATCTTTGCTATGAAAAAAATTATGTTTTAGTCATTTACACCTAGAGTTATTTTCCTAATAAAAATCCTATTTGCTTTATATACTTTATATGTTTGATATGCTTGATATGGATTGAATAAATAAAAAAATTTTTAATAATTATTTGAACATTCATTTACATTAGAATAAAGTAACAATTTCAGAGGTGGAGATAGAGTCACTCAAAAGTCGACTATCTTCAATTGATAAAGATTTGAAGCATTGGCAAGATCTTACAAGAACCACAGCGGAGAGTAAGGTAACGTAAAGGCATTGTAAATTTATGTTCGTAATTGGTTCAATTAAGCTTAAAACGTTTAATTTTAGAATAAAGAAATCGATACACTCAATGGAAAGGTCGAAAAATTATTGATTGAACTCGACACAGCACGACAACAAGGGAGTCAATATGAGTATGCTTTCAAAGAACAGATTGTCATAGTTCAGAAAACAAATGCGGAAAAAGAAGATAAAGAAAGATATTACAAAGAAGTAGTGGATAAAGTCTTAGCTGAAGGAAAATCTTTAAAGAGATTGAATGAAATATATGAAAAACGCCAGCAAGAAGATAAAGAGACGATTAATAGAGCACAAAGTAGGAAAATGTGTATGAAAAAAATAGCATTATGGTATTAGAAATATGTGCTCTAACATAGTTATATTTTCTAGGAGAGATAGCTGATCTTCAATATTCTTTATCAGAAACAAATAATAAACTGAATCAGGTAATTTGGCATTAAGAATTGCACTATTGTATCTATAATATATTCTTATTTTAATTTTAAATATATTTATTTAGTCTCAATCAGAAATAGAAAAGTTGAATGAAGATATTCGGCGGATAGAGGATGAAAATAAACATTTGAGCCAAATATCATCTGTATCATCAGTTTCTCCGGGAAGTGCCGTTAGCATGGCATTACAGTCTAAGGGAAAATCTATTGTGCAGATGGTAGAATAAAATCTCTACTTATTATTCTTATGATTTTTATTTTTTTATTATTTTGCTATTTATTTACGTAAATATTAAACTTATTAACAATATTCTTCACAGTATTCGGAGTATTCAAAGCTTCAAGAGCAATTATTACAAGAGAGAAGAAAGAATCGGGAGCTAACTGAAGCACTAGCAACTTTCAACAAAGAACTCGAAAATTATGTAATTATTGTTTAGTACTTTCATTGTTACCGTTAAGATATATAACAAATTTTATACTTGAATAGACCCCGCTTCTTCATCAAAGAACGGTGGAGTATAATCAAATGGTTGCGGAAAATCAAAACATTTCAGAGCAGCTAAGAGCGTGTCATGAAGAGATTCAACAATTTAATCAATCGGTACATTGTATTTTTTATCTAATTAATTTTTGATGTAATCCATCAATACTAAACTCATTTTATATATTAATTTAGGTAAACAATTTACAATCAGAAAATCAGCAACTAACGGATCGTAATAATCAACTGCAGAACGGTATCCACACATTCAATAAATTCTATAAGAGCATGTGATTTATTTTTTCCATCAACCATCAACTGACTTGTTCTAATTAATAGAAAAGGAAGTGTACATAAAACATAACTCGATATTAATACGTCAAGTTAATGAATTTCGAGGAGGAGCTCCAAGCTCACCTCAAACGGATATTGGAGAGGATAATGAACCACATGATATTGATAGTCTTTATAGATTAAGTTTTAACCTAAAGGCCGAGAAAAAGAGTTTAATGAAGAAGATCTCTACACTTGAAAATCAAATTAAAGTGCTACAAGATCAGATCACTTTGAAAGACTCAGAAAATCAATCCGCTGTGCAAGAAATTTCTCGCCTTCAAATGAAACAGCGACAATTATGTTCGCAAGTTGAATCACTTGAGCGAGAGCGAGGATTACAGCAAGAATTGACGTTACGAGGAAGTATCAATAGCATCCAAGATAGCAACTCTTCTGTAAGAATGATTTCATCAGTTCTTGGTACTCGTGGGCGCGATTACGAAGCAGAAGTTTCCGATCTTAAGGTACTGCGCTTTTATTTTATTGAAAAATGTATATTTGTATCATTAAATTAAAATTTATTACTAACTACATATATTAAACTATTGAAGTCTCGACTTGAGATTTCATTGCAAGAAATGAAAGATCTTGATGAAAGGCTTCAAACCGCGAATCAAGAGTTGTCAACGCTCCGTCACGAAAAAATTCAATATTCATATGATCGACAAAGCTGGGAAGGTACGAACTTTGTTTTTATCATATTACAATTTACATATTAAGTTTTTGTCCTGTTAAATTACAGATCGACACAAGATTATTCAAGGACATTTAAATATAAAAGAGGAAGAGTGTCAAAATACAAAGACAGTTTTAAATCAAATCCAAAAATTGAACGAGCAAATGGAAAGACAATTGACAAAGGTATTGATTTGAGCTATTTTTATTAAATATATTGATTTTGTGCTAATATGTATTTTATTTTTATTTTTTAAGGCAATTGATGAGAATTCTAGGCTGAATGTGGAAATCGCAAATTTGAAAAATGATCTTAGTAGTCAACAAATTAAATGGGAGGAATCGCAAAAACGAATCAACAAAGAGATGGATGATCTTATAGGTTCAAAAAGCGAAGCCGAAAACTTGGCGCGAAATGTTCAGAAACTGACAGAGGAGAAGGAGCATGTAGATAGCGAATATAAAGTTGCACAAGAAAAATTATTAGCTACACAAGCAAAATGTGATAATTTGCAAGAACAACTTGTTTCTGTGAGCGAGAAGTATTCTAATTCCTTAAAAAAATCATCTGAAGAGCATAGCAAATTCGTTGAATCAAATAAGGTGTTGCAAAATAAGATTACAGAGCTAGAAAATGAGAATCGAAATCGTTTAACAAAAATGGAAACACTTACGAAAGAAATTCAGACGCTGAAAGACCAGCTTTCTGTTTTCCAAGCAAGCGATCAAGGTGTCGAAATTGTCAGATTGAAGTAAGTTAAAAAATTTTTCTGATTAAACCGCAAATTATAATGTTAACTATATATGTCCGATTAATTTTAGGACCGAATTAGAAGCTAAAGAAAAGGAAATTGTTAATATACGAGATGAGTCTCAAACCTACAAAGAGTTATACGAAAAATACCAAACGCAATTAAAAAAGAACGAGCAAATGTATAACGAATTAAAATCTGCTGCTGATGAAGAACGAGAGACAAATCTAGTAAGTTTTAATAAATTAGTATTATTACCGTTATTTAAACCGATGGCTAACTTTATGTCATTAGGCCTTGATAAAAAAACTTCAAGATGAGCTCTATCCTGTAAAGGAGGAGCTCGATCAAAAGATTGATGAATTGCGTAGTAAAGATCAAGAGCTTACAACAGCACGTAGCGAAGTAGTAAAGTTAGAACAGATGCTAAATGAAGTTCGTGATAACTCTAACACTGAAACACATCAGCTCCGTGAAGAAATGACTAAACAAGAAAAATTATTAGAAGAAGCACAAAATAAATACAATCGTGAAGTGCTTGTTCATGCTGAAGATGCTCAATCTATACTCGCTTTAAATTCAAGACATGCACAGCTGAAATCTGAATTTGACCAGTTGAAGGTTATATTATGTGCTATTAGATTGTATTATGTATTTATATGTTTATGTTTATACTGAAATCTATTATAATTTTCTAGATTCAGTTACAAAAGTCAGAAGAACTTTGGAATGACGAAAAAGATAAACTTGAAAAAGAATTGGAAAAGACACTTCAACGGTAATCTGATTAGGACAGTTTTGTAATGAATTGTCGAGTTGTTATTTATTGTTCCTTAATATCTTTTTAAATTTGGCAGATGCAACGAGCTTGAAGAAAGCAATAAAACGCTTCATGAATACTTTGATGTCGATTCTGGAAGGACAGTATCCCAAGACCAAATAATATCACTTTTGCGTATGGAAAAAGAAAGGGCAGAAACCCAAAGAGAAGCACTTGCACAACAAGCTGAAAGATATAAGGCGCAATATGAGCACACTCAAAAATCATTGGATGAATTGCGTGAGTTACTTATTCAGGTACGAACTTTGTTCATCATTTGGACATTTTAGTTTTCAAATGCTTTCATATTATTTAACCAATTTTATTATACGTGTTTGTTTAGGAACGTGAGCAAGCAGATAAGGGTGGACCTTTGGAGAAATTGCAAACAGAGCTTTCAGAAAAAAATATTCAATTAAAACTCCTTGACGAAAGCAACCAGACATTGAGAGCTGCAAGTGAGCGATTAGAGAAACAAGTTGTTACAGCGCAATCTTCGTTGAAAGAAGCAGAGGAAAAAATACAAACATTAGATGGTAATAATTAATATATTTGTTCGAATTAACACAACGGTGAAGTCTTATTATTTTTTATTATTATTGTGACTAAAAATAGTGCAAGTTAAGAGTCTACAACTTGACCGAGATAGTTCCGTTCAAGAAGTGAAAATACTCAAAGAGGATCAAGAACGGTGGAAAAACCGATTCCACACCGTGCTACAGAAATATGGTGTATGTAAATAGTTTTCTTCGACAAATAATCAAATAGTTAATAGTATCTAATGTTTGTCATTCGGAAAACAGATCAGCGATCCTACCGAATTGCAAAATTTAAAGGATAATCTGAAGTCCACAACGGAAGAGCGCGATAAGCTTAAAGCAGAAAATGGTAAACTACGGAACGATTTCACTTTGGCAAGGAAACAGGTAATAAAATTGTTTAGAACAATTCTAAAAGATAGTAACAAGGTTCTCAATTCTAAAAACGATTCACCTTTTTTGATTGAGATCCCCAAACCATTAAATTAAGTAGTTAAAATGGTGATATTCCATTATTTATTTATTTATTTGTTTGTTTACTCTTTTTTATAAATCAAAAGTGCGAAATTGTTAAAAGTCAAGCAATAAAGATTAAGAATAAGCTTGATCTAACGGAGAAAGAAAAAGTTACTCTTACACAAGATCATGCAAAATTAGAAAAAGATAAAACGACACTTACTCAAGAGCTTTCAAAAGAAAAAACTAACCATGAAAATCTTCGGAAAAGAGTGAGTAGTATGCAAAAGAGTTTTAAAACCGTAGCCCAAGCTGAACAAATAAAGAAAGAACTAGAAGAACTGAAGCAAAAACATCAAGATGTTACTAAAGAGTTAGAGGAGACAAAACAGCAAAGTGTGGAGTTTACAAAGCAAATTGAAGGGCTAAAGAAAGAGTTACAAGAAGAGAAGGAGAAAACCTCAGATTATCTCCGGTATAAAGCACAAGAATCGATGTTTTCTAGCAAAATTAAAAGGCTGGAGGCAGAAAAGGCAGAGTTGAAAAATCAGATAAATCAGTTTCAACAACAAATGAACACCCAAACAAATGTTCCAAAATCAGACAATGTGCAGAGTACGGCAGAAATAGCGCCATCTACGCCGCCATCCACCTTGCCCCAAATAAACATAACGAAGCCTCCCACTCCATCGCAACAAACGAAGCCCCCTACTCCTTCGCAACAAACGAAGCCCCCTACTACCTCGCAACAAACGAAGCCCCCTATTACCTCGCAAGCAACGAAACCTCTCACTCCTCCGCAAGCAACGAAACCTACTACTCCACCGCAAGCAACCAAACCTCTTACTCCCCCGCAAGCAACGAAATCCCCAACTCCTTCGCAACCAACATCAACAGCACTAACGATTATTTCGCCTCCAATTAACGTTCCTGTAAATGTTACTGAGACTAAGGAGATCTCTCAACCATCTAGTAGCGCAGAAACTAATGATGGAACCGCGGCTGCGGCTACGTCGCCATCTTCAAAACAAATCGTTGCGTCTGTTCCTCCCACCATTACAGTTACACCGAACGCACCGAACACACCAAAGGAAAAGCCACCAGTCAAATTACAAAGGAATCGTGTTCCATTAACAACTTTACCTCAATCACCGAAGATAACACCCGTTCAAGTCGTAGTATCGACACCACCGCCATTAGAAGAGCAGCAATCAGCCGTACGCACATCAGCCATTCCTGAGTCTCAACCTAATGAAACCAGCATAGTCGAATCTTCCGAAACAGAAATAACGGTGCAGCCAACTTCAACAGAAGTCGCTAGTACTCCTACTGAGGTTGCTAGTCGTAAGCGTTCTAGAGATGAATCCGAAGAGACTACTTCAACTGGTAATGGTATGTTGAGATAATCATATTTAATTTTCTATCATGTCATTAATATATTATGATTTTTATGATATAGTAACTACTGGAATGCAAGATGTTCAAATATCTGACAATACAAATTCTAATGTTGAAGCCTCGGTACAGTCTCCTGCTAACAAAAACATTGAAGAAACGACGGTTATGCCAGAATCAGCAGATAATAATCAAATCGATACCAATGAATCAGAACAACCATCTCCTAAAAGAGTTAGGGTAGAAGATAGTAATTCAGATATTTGATCCAGGATCTTTTTGTAATTTCACAAAGAACATTTCTGTAATAAAAATTGATTTTTTTATTACTCAATGTAAATAAAGAATTTATTATTCATTGCCAGTTCGATGCATCATCTTAAGTCAATGTTTCTTTGAAAACAATTAACAGCCAGTTAAGTAAGAAAATAATTACGGTAAAAGCCTTTTTATTATAAAGTTTTACGAGAAATTTTTTTCCCAAGGTTTGCATCTTAGTGTTATGGCTAACAGTTCGTATAGAGGTCGGAACCGGTTTTAATAATTCGGGTTTATCAAGTGAATTTTGATATTTTAGAAAGTGTTATTTAGAAAATTACTTAGTGCTAGGGGTATAATTTGTAATTCAATATAATTATCCATTAATGAAATAAATTAAAGATTATCGTGCGATTGTTTAACATTCGAATTTGATTTATATTTTCTTAGTAGTAGAATGTTGGAATTTTTAATATAAGTTTTTAAATAAAAAACTTTTATCCAATAATTTGTTTTCATAGAAGTTGTTAAATGTTTTCAGAAAATACTAAGAAATTTTAAACACTGTTTATTACATTTCACATATTAATCGTTTTAACACTAATTCTAAAACCTGATTTTTTATGGCTCACATTACTTGAATTGTAACTTAAATTGTTATTTAATCTCAAAGTTATTCTAAGTTCTTTCACAGATATTGGTAATATTGGTGATTTAGTTAATTAACATGTATTAAGAAAATTTTCAAATGTTTTAAAATAAAAATCTAAAATTAAATAAACTTAATATTTTATTTTATTTAAGAATTTTTTTTAGAAAAAGTTAAATTTTTATTGCAAACATTGTAATAGACAAGATGAATATTGCTAAAAATTAAATCTAATATATATTTACAAAAAGACAATAACTTTTTATACTTAATATCTAAGAATAAAACTCTTAAAATAAATCTTATAATCATATTAGGTTAAAAAAAATTTTTTTTTTAAAAAAAGAAAATTTAAAACAAACAATATAGTTAATAAAATTTATAGATTTTTTATTATTATTAAAGATTATACTTTATGGCAGTTATTTTTTTTTATTTTTTTTTTAATTTTAGCAGTCATGCTAGTACTTTATTAGAATTCTTGAAATTACACAGATTATATAGAATTTTTCTAATATATATGTCTAGCATTACTTAGCTACCCAAATAGTACCTAAGTAGGATCTGTTGCATTATCCCAATTAGAAATAGACTGCTCGTTTGATTGTTACTCTACAATAGGATATCACCAATCTGATAACATCTTTTTATAGAAAAGCAAAAAACAAAAAAAAATTTTTATATAAAAAATAAAATAGAGATATAGAAGTAAACAATAAAAAATACAAATCAAAAAATAAAAGAAAAAAGAGAATAAACAAGAAAAAAAGAAATATGTAAAACTTGTAATTTACAAATATTAAACAGTTATAATTATATGCCTGTTGTAGGCCTTTAAAAATTATAAACTATACTAAATAGAAATACTTTTACTATTTTCTATTTATTTAGATTATTTAACAAAAAACTATATAGAAAGAAAAAATCTTTAACTTGATCATAGAGGGTCAGTATAGAGTACTAGTTAGTCTGAAGGCAGTATTTTTAGGTTTTTAGTATTTCGAGACATATGTATAATCATGTTTGTATTACTATATTGTTTCTAATCTACATTATCAACAAATCTGTTTAAGAAATAAATACTGTTAACTGTTTTGGTAGTTTTATATATTGATCTTTAGAAAAGGGTAAGCTAAATTGTCTACTTTTACAAAATTTCCTTAAAGCAAAATAAAAGTAAGAGGTAAATCAACTTTGTAGCTTTTGTAAGTTTTTGAACTTTATAAGTGTTTCTTGTAGGTTTTACAATTGTATAAAACCAATATATCCAACTTTATTATTTACTTGATAAAAAACTTTGGCTTTTACTAACTACTTCTATAGTTCCAAAGTATGTTTAAACTGTCACTACAAAGTTGTAACTTTTTTTTCAACTCTATTTCAATATTCAATTATATGTGTATAGTATTTTGAAAAAGTTTTTATAAAGTTTAATATATTAACTATATTATTTTTCTATAGTTCAGTTTTTTGAAAAATTTGGTTCAAATAATCATTAGAAAGATATAGCAGTTATTTTATTAATATATTAAGATTAGTATTATAATTATTTTTATAGAAATAAGAATATAGCTAGATACATATACAACTTTTAGTTGCTTATTTAAGTAGTTTATTTTAGAATTCTATACTAAATATTATATCTATAAGATTATTTATCTAAACTTTATGATTATTTATTTTGTTAGCTATTTATTATTATACTTCTTGTATATATTTAACTAATGTAATAAAGTATCTTTTTTTTTTAAACTAGTTTTCTAATCATTATATATTTCAAAATATGAAACTTATTAGTAAAATTCTAGAATTCTTTTAGTAACTATATATCCAATCTACAAACTATTAATAAAAGCTTGTTCTTGTAAAGTTCATCTGTATTCTAGTATCTGCTTTATAGTATATCTTTATTACTTTAGTATATCTTTGTTTTATCCTTAAACTTCCAATTCAGATAGTTTAGAAAAACTATAATCTATTTTTGATATATTATGTTTAGTTTATATTTTTTTTCTAATTTAATCTAGCAATCTACATTAGCAAAATTATAGATATGAAATATTTCGAAAGATTTTGCATAGTGCAAAAATTTCGAAATAATGCGAAAGAAATTTTGAAATTTTTGCAAACTGCAAAATATTTTGAAATATTACAAAATAAATTTTAAAATTATTGCACTATGAAAAAATTTTCACAATATTGCAAAAAAAAAATTTTTAAATTATTGTGCAGCAAAAATATTTTGAAATATAGCAAAAAAATTATCTAAACTGTAGAAGACAAAATAATGAAAAATAAATAGAAATTATTTTGAAGAATACAAAATATTTCGAAATATTTCGAAATATTTAAAATATTTCAAAGTTCATTAAAATAAAAAAATAATAATAAAATTAATATTTAATAATAATATAATAAAATTAATTTTAAATAAAAATTGACTAATAGCATAAAGTTTATTAATATAAATTATTTAATAGAGTAAATCTCTAAATAGATAATAACATAGTATATTTATTTTAAATAATCTTTATCATCATTATATATATATGCAATAATATTACGATGTATTGAAATGATTCAAAATATTGCAAAAATTTTTTAAAAATTGTAAATATGAAATAAATGAAAAAAGAATAAGAGAAATTAATCAAAAGTTGACAAATTTTCAAGAAGTTCGCATAATTGCAAAAATATTTAAGAGTAGAGTACAACATTGATCATTTCTATATATAATTAGCTGCAAATTTTTATCACTTTTTTTTATATTTAATTTTTTGAAAAAATATATTAAGTAAATAAATTTTAATCCTTATAT